TCCTATAACTGCCTCAAATTTATTCTTGAGACAGCTTTTTAATGAAAGCTGGGACAGACACAAGGTCATATTTTGGTCTTCATGGACTTGTTTTCATTTTGTTCCACTTCCACTTGATCTTACACATTAGTAATTGATGGTCTGTTCCACAGTCTTGGTTTTGTTTTGACTGCTGATGTTGAACTTCTCCATCAACTCTTTCCACAGAAGTAGTCAATCTGATTCCTGAATAATCAATCAGGTGAGGTCCCTGTGTAAAGTCACCATTTGCATTTTTTAAAAAGGTATACATGTAATGATTAAATCATTGATGGTACTAAAGTCAATCATTCAGTCTCCAGCTTCATTTTTGTTGTTGTTAGGTGCTTCAAGTCAGGTACGACGCATAGTGACCCTGTGAACAGCAGGTCTGAACCCTGTCCTCTCCTGTGGCGTCCTCACAACCTCTGACGTCCTTGAGCTCCTTGCTGACGTCACTATGTCAATCCACCTGGTTGAGGGTCCTCCTCTCGCTCACTTACCCTCCACCTTTACAAGCATGATGTCCCTCTCTAACAAAGTCCCTTCTAGCAACATGCCCAAAGGATGTGAGATGAAGTTGTATCACCTTTACCTCCAAAGATCACTCTGGCTGCACCTCATTCAATATAAGTGCTTCTTATTCTGGCAGTCCATGGGATATCCGTTACTCTTCTCCAAAACCACAGCTCAGCTGTCTTCCGCCATCCTTGTTCATTATCCAGCTCTCAAGAGACACAGCAAGCAACTGAAAAGATCATGACCTGAATCTGGTGCACCTTGGTCTTCAAACTGACATCACTGCTTCTCAAGAATCTGGAGAGGTTCCTAATTGCAGGCTCCCTGTGCAATACATCTCCCGATTTCCTGGATGCTGGGACCAAGGGTGTTGGTTGTGGATCCAAGTAAGATGAAGTCATTGACAGTTTCAACCTTTTATCCATCTATCTGAGGTTGTCACTCAGTCAGGTGTTAAGAATTTTTGTTTTCTTGATGTGAAGATGCAATCCATATTGAAGGTTATCTTTGATTTTCGGTGGCAGCAATCGCTTCAAATCCTCCCTTTCAGGAAGTAACATAGGTTATTGATGAGTCTTCCTTTGAGCCTGATGCCATATTCTTCTTCATAGACATCAGCTTTTCCAATGATCTGATCAGCATACAAACTGAAAAGGTGTGGAGAAAAGATAACTGATGCATGCCTTTCTTATTTTTAAACCCTGTAGTGCCCCCTTACTCTGTTTTCACAACAGCCTCTTGGTCTAGGTACAGGTTTCACATGAACACAATTCAGCATCCTGGATTCCCATTCTTCTCAATGTTAGCCATCATTTGTTATGATCCACATAGTCAAATGCCTTTGCATAATCAATAAAGCACAAGTAGACATTCTTCTGGTATTCTCTACTTTCAGCCAAGATCCATCTGACATCAGCAATTATATCCCTAGTGCCACAGCCTCTTCTAAATTCAGTTTAAACTTCTGGAAGTTCTCTGTGAACTGTTCTAGCAATTTTTTCATTCTCTTCAGCAGTATTTTAATTACATGTGGTGTTAATGGTACTGTTTGCTAGTTTCCACATTCTGTTGGATCATCTTTCTTGGGAATGGAAATAAGTATGGGTCTCTTCCAGTCAGTTGGCCAAGAAAATTTCCTCCAAATTATCTTGGCATAGACTGGTAAGTGCATCCAGGGCTGCAACTCTTAACTGAAACAAGTCAACTGGTACCCCATCAATTCCTGGGCCTTATTTTTTGCCAATGCCTTCAGTGCAGCTTGAATGTCTTTGTTTATTACCATTGACTCTCGATCATATGGTACTTCCTGAAATATTTCCACGTCTGTCAGTTCTTTTCTTAGTGATTCTGTATATTCCCTCCACTTTCTTTTGATGCTTCGTGTGTCATTCTAGATTTTGCCCATAGCATCTCTAAGTATTGCAACTTGAGGCTTAGTTTTTCAGTTCTTTCAGCTAGAAAAATGTTTAGCAAGTTATTCCCTTTTTATTTTCCAATTCCATCTCTGCACATTCCATTATAATACTTTTGCTTTGTGTTCTCGAGCTGCCCTATGAAATCTTCTGTTCAGCTCTCTTTTGTTTTCCCTTTGTCTTGGCTTCTTGATGCTCTAGTGCCATTTTCAGAGTCTCTTCTGACATCCATTTCGGTTTTTTCTTTCTCCTCTGTTTTTGTAGTGATCTGCTCTCTTCATGGATGCTATCCTGATGTTATCCCACAACTCATCTGGTCTTTGACCACTGATGTTCAATGCTTCAAATTATGATGATTATGACGATTTTTAAATTCAATTGGGAAAGACTCAAGACTATATTTTGGTTTTCATGGAGTTGGGGGTTTTTTGTTTGTTTTTATCAGATAATCTATTTTTTATTATTATTAAATTTTATTCATTTTAATGAACATTTACAGAGATTTTGGGTTTTCATTCATTCATTCATTGTTGCACTGTTTTCTCTACCCTCCTCCCCAGTTTGTTCTTCTTTTTTTTCCCCCCCCTTGAATGTCAGACTTGGTGTGGTGTTTTTTTTCCAGCCTCAATTTGAACTTGCATTTGAGTGGTCTGTTCCACAGGCTGTGGTCCACGTATAAAGTTTAATATTTTTTTTAACCTCAATTTGAACTTGCACTTTGATGGTCTGTTCCACAGGCAGCATCTGGGTTGGTTTTGAGGGCTGATACTGAGCTTTCCCAACAATTCCTTCCACAGGTGTAGTCAATTGATTCCTATGTAGTCTTTCTAGTGTGGTCCATGTGTGAAGTCACCATTTGTGGTGGTTCTTTTTTAAAAAAAAATAGTGTTTAATTTTAACTCAGATTGTACTCACTATATTAATAGACTAATTTCTATCTTGGATGTTCTTTTTTAAAAATTAATTCATTGTTGCACATTTCCCTTCCTCCCCCACCTTCCCCCTTCCCTCCCCCCAGTCCACTCTGCAATGCATCACTTGGTTTTTATTTCTGCCATGCATATAAAGCCTAATCATATATTCCTCTCAGATGCCTTCCCCTCATCTGGACCAATGCAGGGTGGACAGATAAAGAACACTGCATTTATGGTTTTGAAAAAGGTAATTGTGATGAATAAACCATTGAACATACACAATTCGATCACTCTATTTCAGGCCTCATCTGTTACCAAGGCTCTACTTCCCAGGTACCATTCCTTCTTCATTCTTTCCAAGTTTTGTGTTCCAGCCATCAATTCTCATTAGCATATCTTGATTGCACACTTGGTTAATTTTAAGACTCCAAAATGGGGTAAAAGTCTTCAATTTTCTCCTCTTTGGCTTTAGCTGTTGGTGTACATATTATAATAACAGCCATATTAACAGGTCTTCTTGTACGTGTATGGATAATTTCCTATCACTCACAACACTGTACTTCAGAATATAACTCGGTATTTTTCAACTACCAGTCTTCTGTTAACTTGATGTTTTTCAACTACCAATCTTTTTCTGTTTCCAACTTTGCATTCTGGTCACCGATCATTATGAAAGCATGTTGGTTGCATGTTTGATCAATTTCAGACTGCAGAAGCTGGTGGAGGGCCTCAATATCTTCATCTCGGGCTTTACCGTTTTGTGCTTGTACCTGAATAAGAGTTATACGAGCAGGTCTTCCTTGTGTGCGTGTGAATACTGCAGGACAGATCTGGAAATGTTCTTGATGATAACTGGAACACTATTACTCTTCAGTTTTTCCTTCCTGGCCCAACTGATCAGAGGGCTGTGATTCAAGTGGCCGATACCAGTCCATCTCAGTTCACTCCTGGCTAAGAACTTCATGCATTCTGTTTCATATTTTACCATTTACCATTTTTCTAGACTCATACTTCATCTATTATGTGCTCCAATTATTCATGGATGTCTGCGGCATATTTTTTTCCAGATCCTTCCACTCTGAGGGGCTCTGCCCCCAGTACTATACTTAACAACACCCTTCGTTCAAAGACCTGTTATTTAAAACGCAGACAGTCAAGTCTGCTTCTCAGTCTGCATTGCTCATGAATTTGTGCATAATTTACTCAGGATTTTCACCTAATTCGTATGGTTTTTCTACACTTTCTGATATTGGTGTTAGATACGTCTGTGTGTATACACATATACAAGGAGAGCTGTTGGCCTAGTGGTAAAGAGCTGTGCTGCCAACTCAAAGGCATGTGGTTCAAATCCACCAGCTGCTCCACAGGAGAAAGTTGGGCAGTCTCCTCGCCTAAGTTTACAGCCTCTGAAAACTCACTGGATGGTCAACTACGAGTCAGTTCCAATTTGACAGTATATGCAACATACATCGATATGTGTGTGTATACCTTCTCCTCACTTATTAACTGCTTTGTTCTTTGATATTTTGTCTTCATAGTAGAAGAAACCATACAGAATCTACTATGCAACTATTCTGTGCATTAATGATATAAATCTAATAGTAACTAATGCTGAGCTGTGAGACAAGAGTAGCGCAGGTTGTGAAGGTTAAGATCCCTTTCCAACTCCGCTGGGCCAGGATTCTCAGCAGTTCTGCACTCATGCAATGCAACCGCAGTAACCCAGGGTTTGAAAACGACCCATGTCAACAAATGAGCAGAGAGGATACGTGTGCAGTGGAGGTATAGCTATACATACGTTACAGACATCCACACACAGGTTAAGTAAGCATATTTAATATTATATTTTGGATTATATAAGATTTTATGCTATTCCTCTAAGTTCATCAAGCTAAGGAAATAAAATAATGGAAATTCCCTACTATGAAATCAGGCTAAAAGGCTTATGATCCTCAGAGTTTAAACAGTGATTAAGGGGAAACAGCCTCTGCCTGAAACGTGCAGCAGAAGGCAGAGTTAAAAAGAATAATGACGGCTTGGCCAGAAGGGATGTGTGGGAAGGCAGGTCTTGACTGGTGGTTTTGTCAGCAGATTCAGTAATTGGCTTGTCGGCTGCCAACGGAGGGCAGGTAGTGTTTTAGGACAGATCAGACCTATCGTCACCATGCCTGAAATAAATACTGACAATCTCGATGAGCAGCAAGTTAAACTTCTGGCCGAAATGTGCATTCTTATTGATGAAGATGACAACAGAATTGGGGCTGAGACAAAGAAGAATTGTCACCTGAATGAAAACATTGAGAAAGGATTGTTGCACCGAGCTTTTAGTGTCTTCTTATTCAACACAGAAAATAAGCTCCTACTACAGCAGCGATCCGATGCTAAAATTATCTTTCCAGGTTGTTTTACAAATACTTGTTGTAGTCATCCATTAAGTAATCCTGGAGAACTTGAAGAAAATGATGCAATTGGAGTAAGACGGGCAGCACAGAGGCGTTTGAAAGCTGAATTAGGAATTCCATTGGAGCAGGTTTTGCCTGAAGAAATTAATTATCTAACACGAATTCACTACAAGGCTCAATCTGATGGCATTTGGGGTGAACATGAAATTGATTACATTTTGTTTGTGAAAAAGAATGTAACTTTGGATCCTGATCCCAATGAGATTAAAAGCTACTGTTATGTGTCTAAGGAAGAACTCCAAGGACTTCTGAAAAAGGCAGCCTGTGGTGAAATTAAGATAACTCCATGGTTTAAAATTATTGCAGAGACTTTTCTCTTTAAATGGTGGGACAACTTAAATCATCTGAATCAGTTTGTTGAACATGAAAAAATATACAGAATGTAAAAATAGGGATGAATGATTAGTAAGTTCTGAAAAACTCTGTCATGAATTTAGTATAATGATAAATGTTATTTTGTTTTGATAGTAATTTTGTTTATTAGAAAAACTTTCATTTTCTACATTAATGCATTTATAACTAAAAGTTGTATGGAAAGAGGAACTGACTTAATTTTATATCACATAGCCATCCATATGCATTGGCGTTTGTAAAAGACATGAAAGTTATTGAGAGGGAGAAAAAGAGAGCACAAATAAAACTTAATATTAACGTTTCCATGAACATTGGAATAAGCAAAGCTCTTCAGTTTTCATGTTGTTGAGATAGGCATTTTCAGAAATTCTTGAGGACTTTGCTATTTCCCAAGCACTTTGTAAACTATTAGCTTAGGCTAATCAACAGTCTTAGTTAGAACTCATTATTAATAGATTAAATTAGTTAACCAGATTAAAGGAAAATGAAATTGTATAGAACCTAATTTCGATCATTCTAAGTTGATTTTATGGTCTAATCATTCTGAAATGAATATTTTGATACCTAAAACCAGTTACTGTTTTTGACCATAAGCGGGAGTGCATACTGATTAAACTCTTTTAAAGAAACCAAAAGCCAAATCCATTGTTCTGAGTCAATCTTGACTCACAGCAACCCTATAAATCAGATTGTAACTCTTCCATATAATTTCCAAAGACGTAAATCTTTATGGACTCAGCCTGCCCCATCTTTCTGAACTGACTTTTTTGGTTAGCAAACTGTATGCTTATTCACTTTGCTGTCTGGGCTTTTAAAAAGTTTTGCCCATTAGCAAGTGTATGTTTTCAGAATTACAGTCAACAAGAAGCTGTTGATAAATTTGGAGTTGGGACAAACTCCTGCTCAGTCTTGACACTATATTTGTTGTTGCTATTGTACTGGATCATATAAAACAGGATAATTCTCTGAGGGCACACTGTTATGTATGCACTGTAAGATATTTTATATCACCCTGAGCTCTGTACACTAGATGCCATTTGCACCAGTTCATTTGTGACAACCAGAAATTACATCACATATCGGGGATCCAGCCCCATATGTCAGGAGAATTCCGCCAAAAGGAGGCACCAGGTTGAAATGAAGATGCGGAGAGGCTAATTGCTGATGACAAATAGCAAGTTTAATATTCTGGCAAGGGTATATATACATCTTAGGAACATGCCTGCAGGGGTAATCGCATTATCTCTTCTCTGTCAGAGATGTTGACTGGTAGATCAAACATTCCCAGACCTCAACACAAAACAAAGACATCTTCCGGGATATCATATGATATCTATTGGAAAACAAGAAGGTATCACATTCCTAGAATTCTGAGGCCTTTGGTCACTCCCTATTCATTAGCATACTGCTTCCTGGAGTTGTTTTCTGCAGAGCAGATGGTCAAGCCAAGATAGGTGGTCCTGCTGTTTTTACTAGGCTTTGCTGTTCCTGCTTTGCAGGTTAGCCAGGCCCTGACAATCAGACATTGTCAATTGTCCCAGGAGAGGGAGGGAGCAAAATTATTCCCACAAAGACATTCCAGGTTGTAAGGTGAGAAATACTGTAAAAAAGCTAATTGGAATAGATAGATATTGAAAATGGTATCTCCACTAAGGCAGTTTTTTAAACTGTTGCAAAAATTTCTTAGATTTGAAACCATAAGACATGTTTATTACCCTTGAACACTTTGTAATAATAAATAACAAAGAAAAAATACTTTCTTGCAAAGTTAACCTATAAATCCAATAGAAGAATTCATCTCCTGTTAGTCTTGAACAAATAGCCTGGAATTTTAGAGGAGACATTTTTATGTAACAAGTATTTATTTTACTGAAAATCACAAGAATAAAAAGTAACCATACATTTAAAAAAAAAAAAAAAGAATAATGACGTTTTAGAAAACGTGCAGCAAGGCATTGTGACTCAAGAGGCCCTGTACATTTTCCTGAGTGATGACCACCATTCCCAAGGCGCGCAGCAAGGAGACGAACACACTGGGCAGCTGACCCCACACCTGGCAGTCAGTTTTCTACAAGTGATGGTCAGAAGCACCCACACGTGACTCACCTCTCCAAAGCCGCCTTTTCCGAGGACTCGGTAATGTCGAAAGGTTTTCTTTGTTACTGGCTGCCTAAGCAATTAAAGAGAGAATCGATTCAGGCGCGCGCTCTCTCTCTCTCTCTCTCTCTCTCACACACACACACACACACACCCTGCCCCTGGGACCATCCACCTCGCACAGAGGGAAGGCCCAGCTTAAGGGGGAGCTGGGGGAGGGGGCGCTGTCTGGTCCACAAGCTGCGGAGAGCTGACCAAGCTCGGGCACATCACAGCAAGTGCTTACTCCAGACCCGGGCTCCACCACCCTCGCTAACCCAACCGTCTCCCACCAGCCAGTGGCTGAAATATGCGTGGGACGCGGAACATAGTCAGGGCTACACTGACAGCTCTTTGACTCTCTCGGAAAGCTGGGAGGAAAACGGTGTGGGCACACACACAAACCCCAAGTGTGATGTTCTCAGGGGAAGGAACCGCACAGATGTTAAACCAGTGTCTCAAGTACAGGCAGGAACTTGAAATGTTATCGCTCCATAATAATCGTGGTAGCTGTAACAACTGGATGGCGAGGGTAACGCACAGCCAACCTTCCTGGAGCACTGGTTTTGAGCAGCTCAGCACTTAATACACTTCTCAGGTGACGCTAGAGACACACTGACAGGGCAGGTTCTCTGTCTACTCAACAGGGCAAGGAGCTGGAGGGGTCTCTACTCTGGGGGTGGGGGTCGGCACTGAAGGAAGCTCCTGGGGCCACACAGCCCACGTGAGACTGAGCTGGGGCCGAGATGTGCTCAGACCACCGCCCTGCCCACCACTCCTGGAAGGCGACCCTGCACGTGATGCCCATGACTGTCCACCTCCCCGGCAGGGCCAGCAGCCACTTCAAGGTGAGCAGAGTCAGAAGGGAGCCGCACAGGTGGTCCACCTGTGACAGGTGATGGATTCCTCCAACAGCAACCTGCACCTGGGACCACCTGGCGCTGGGTGCTGTCGGCCTTTTCTTCTTCTCACTAGTAACGGGCACCACGTACAGTGCAAGCGACATAATCTGCTGATGTTACCATTCTCAGATCTTCACTCACGGATGTCCCAGGGTCAGCCTTTAAACACATACTGGTAAGAGGTGGCGAAAGTCATCCAAACTAAAAAGAGGTTCTGGTGTGTAGTGGAGTTCTGAGAAAGGGACTCCATTATAAATGGGAGACCCTCTGTAATATCTAGTAATAATTTCAGTGCAAACTACAATATATATACCCCAAAAGTTCCAAGAGCATTTTGGAGAAATGGAGACGTGTACTTCAACAGGCACACACCGTGTGAAGTTAGTACTTGCTTCCCAGAGTTCTGAATCAGATCATACCTCTCCCGCCATTTCCACTGTAAAAAGCGTGAAAAATAGCGGCTTGCTTGGTACTCTTCAAAGGGTTTTCCACTTAAATAGTTATGGACGACTCTAGAAAAAAAAAAACAACAACACCCATTTCATGCAATTACCCGCATGCTGCTACAGTGTGGACGCCTGTTTGTGTGCACGCATCAGCTCTGGACACGGGGAGGACCCAGCACTGGGCTCCTAACGCCGCCAGTGAAAATATGGTGGTAAAAACCTTGGAGTGACCACTTCACCCCACAGTCACAGGCTTCCCTCTCACACAGATCGATATCAGAGAAGTACTTACTTGATTAGAATAATCTACCGGCAGAAAGATCCTAGTCCAAAACGTGCACAAGGGGTGTCATGGTGTGTGTGCACATGAACCAGGGTTGTTTTGAGGGCCACACTCACTCAGTAGCACACAGGAGAATGGCTTGGTGGTCACCTTCTGTAGAGCTGATGACCAAGGACACACTCTGGAGCAGTTCAGCTCTGTGACACGTGGCATCAGAGTCAGAGTCACCCCTACAGTGTTGGGGTTTGTTTGTCTGAGATGCATACATGTAAAATCTATTCCGCAGGACTGAGGTTTCTGTCATCTGCTTTCTCGCCTGCCCATAAGAATGCGGCTCACAAAGGCCCGGAATGAGCACTCTGTGTGGGAATTAAGTGCTGTCTGAAGGCTGCTGCACGAGTTCAAGTACAAGTGCACAGGACAGGGAGGTCTGGGCTTAGGTCAGAAGCCACTTCTTTTTTGTCGTGTGCCTAAGGAAGCTGTATTTAGCTAATCTGCTCTGCCTTAGAATGTTCCTGTTTGCGTTGTCAGGATTCGGGTAAAAAGTATTTTCAGTGAGGGCCTAGGTCTGAAAAAGAATTTTATGGGAATCTTTTGATCCTAAACATAGTATGTTGGGAGGCTGAGCAGAGAGAGTGTTGGCAAAGGGACGTGGGACAGTGTGCTCTCGGAAGCCTCACTACCCTTCTCCCAAAGGTCAGAGCCTTGCTGGGTCAAGCTCTGCACGGAGAGCTTTTCGGATGCAGCCCCCTCAGGCGAGGCCAGCCTCGTGTCAGGTGCCCCCTCCCCTGCACGCAGGTACCAGGTGCAGGCTGGGCACCCACTCACCTGGTACACTCCTTAAAGGCGTCCTTCGAAGCCTGCTTCTCCAGTCTCCTTTTACACTGGGTAACAATACCCTGAGGCATCTTGGGTAAATGAGCTCCAGACTTCTTAAGCAGCAGAAACCAAATGCAGAACAATTAGTGGTGTCATCAAATACAGTCACTAACAAAGACTTTTTAAAGTGTTCACCAGCCAGGGTGTTACTTTGAGGACTGAGGTGAGCCTGACCAAGCACTTCACAAACACGCGAAAGCAGGGCAAAGGGTACGGATGCCTGCAGAGGGCTGATGACCGTGAATGATGCTGTGGGCGAACAAAAAACAAGGAAATCTGTCTTGGAAGAAGTGCCAGAATGTTCCTCAGAAGAGAGGACAGCAAGAGTTCTTCGCATGCTCTTTGGCCACGTTCCCAGGATGGGCCGCTTCCAGGAGGGGACGTCAGGCTTTGAAAGAGTCAGCAGAGAACAGGAAGACTAACAAACGACCGGCATGGTGGCCGCAGTGAAGGGCAGCCTCTGCAGTGACCGTGCTTTCGTCTCTGCTCCTTCTTTCCCTAGCTTACCTATCTCCCCTCTTAAAATTCCCTCCTTTGCCCCACGTGCTCCACCCCTGGAGGTTCCTCACATCCTCCAACGCACAGTTTTCCCATCCCAGTGGTCTCTGCGGTGTTGTTTCCTCCACCTGGAGCTTGTCTTGGACACCTGTGCACGGGGCAGACTAGCTGCTTCTCCTCCTCCAACCCTAACTGGAGAAGTTCCTCTCCAGCGCCGTGACTAGGTCTCCCCGTTACGTCAGTGCATGCTGTCATCGCATCAGTGCACACGGTCCATTTAGTCTGCATTCTCTCCAGGTAGATGACTCCATGAGCCCATGTCCACATTTGTTTTCGTGAACCATCCCATAATTAGTATTTAACACAGCACACAGCAAACAGAAGACACTAAAGACACACGTTGAAGGGATGAATGAATGAAAGGATCCTGTCCCACTCTGAGTGGTTGCTGAAACTGGAGGAAGGGAACTCAAGGAGTTCCCTTGTTGGTGTGCAAAAGAAAGAGCTTCTGTCACTGCTGTTGTTTTTAAAGAGAAGTACAAATTACGGTGATGATGGGACTCCTTCGTCTTTGAGGAAAGCACAAGGACAGGTCAGTCAGGGAAGAAGAGGAAGGACACCTCTCAGCTGGTCCAGGGAAGCTCTGAAGCCACGCCACCTCCAGGGCCCACACACCTCGTACTATCCCCAATGTCCTCCTGAGTGGACTCGGTCCTGAGCTCTGCTCCTTCTTCCCTAGCTTACTCGGTCCTGAGCCACTCGGTCCACCAGGTCTACTCTGTAAATGCTGTCTACCTTTCGGGTGACCTCCCTTGCTCTGTGTTGTTCCTTCTGGAAAGGACAAAAGAAAGCACAAGATGACCATGTATCTCTTCCCAGTGAGGGTCCCTCCAGTAAGCAGAGGCTGTGTAGTCATTAGGGAGCACTGCTGGCCTCGTGGGTAAAAAGCTGCTCTGTCAACCTAAAAGCAGCTGGTTCAAATCTCCAAGGGCTCTGCAGGAGCAGGATGGGCAGTCTCCCCCGTTATATTTACCACCTCTGGGACCCACAGGAAGGTCAGCTGGGAGTCAGTTCTGACTCTCCAACAACGAACACCAATTTGGTGCAGGGTAAGGGCTCAGGTGAACCCACAGCTCCCTTGTGAGAGCAAGGTGTGCAGTCAGCTTCCAGAAAGACTGTTAGGTTGCTGCTGTGAGCCACAGTCAGCAGCGGCTCAGCGCTTAGCCTCCAGCAAGTGTTCAGAGGCAGGAAACTGCATGGGAGGAGACCGCTCATCTTGCTCCCACACAGCAGCTGGTGGACTTGAACCGCAAGCCTCTGGGCTGACAGTGTGGCCCCTCAGTGAGGAACTGCTATAGGGCGATGTCCTTGACCACTGTCCTGCAGCCCCACTATTAGTGAGATGGGGTGGGTTTAGGTGCTGACAGCTCATCGTGCGTGGCCTGAGGGGTGGCTGGGGAGGCGTCACCCGCAAACCCAGGCTGGTCACTGGCTGCCTGTCCGTCTTTGGCTGCTGGATTTCCCCACAGGCTGTTCTACCAAAGCACCTTCTCTAACGGAACCTCTGGATCCGCAGCCCCCATTAGCTGAGCTTGAAATCAGGGCACTTTAGGTCAATCCCCTCACCCTGCTGTGCTCTAGGGCCAGGCTCTACGCTTTGCACTCTGGCTCCAGCCCCGGCTGGGTAGCCTCGGGCAGGTCCACTCTGTTCTGGTCTCAGAGTAGACGTGATGTGAGCACTCAGCCTGTAGCTCAGTTGACAAGCGTCACTAACTAGATGCACAGCGCTTAGTGCCACGTCTGCCTGTATCCACCTTACTGCTGTCCTCGCTCTGCTCAAGCCGGATGCGCTGCTCAGCCCGCACACCTGCTGCTGAGGGAGGAAGCCTTGCAAAGGGAAGCAGGAGACGACTCTGACTTAAGCCTCCAACTCAGCACCAGGGGCCAGAGGATGCAAGAGATGGAAACTAAGACCAGGTGAAGAATTTAGGGGAGGGGGGAAAAAAAGGCTCTGTTTAGTCTAAAAGAAACAAAAATCTCTAATTCTAAATTCTATCAAGTTGCTGTTGTGTACTGTCAAGTTGGGACTGACACACAGCTGACCCACCAGCAGGTTTTAAGAGGCAGTAAATCACACCAGAGGACAATGCTTATCGTCCTTCCACAGAGCACCTGGCAGATTTGAACCGTGTACCTTTGGGATAGATGGCAGTGCAGCACTTTACCGCTGGGCCACAAGAGCTCCCATAGTCTGTAAAGAGGCAATATAAAAGCTTTCAATTCATAGGATCTGTTTTCTAAGAGATGGAATTGCTGTTTTCCTCTGCAGTCAAAGGAAGATGCAGAAGAGGGCTGCTGAGATGACATGCTTTTTCCATCTCCCCTGGTGAAATGTGACCCAGGATGTGCAGGCGACTCTCTGCTCTGACTGTGTGAGCAAGGCGTCTGCACATCTGTGCACGTAGAGAAGGAAGCACACCTCACTGAAGAACGTGTCCAGGATCTTCCTCCCGCGGTCTCCCTGCTCTTCTTCAGCAGCCACTTCATATTCAGCCTGATTAGAAGAGACAGAAAGGGAACGGTCAGGTGAGCTGCCCCCTGCCTCCATGCCGTTGTGAGTCCCGTCTCAGAGAACTGACCTGGCAGCGTCAGAACCACGGAGCAGTTAAGTGCTCAGGCAAGTCCCACAGCTACTGAAGCTGACAGAGAGAGGAAGACTCACTGCTCCCCACCACCACCTCTCCACCCTGTGCTGCAGTCTCAGCCTCACCGCTCCCCACCGCCTCTCTACTCTGTGCTACAGTCTCAGCCTCACTGCTCCCCACCGCCTCTCCACCCTGTGCTGCAGTCTCAGCCTCTCCACCCTGTGCTACAGTCTCAGCCTCACCACTCCCCACCGCCTCTC